TCTGCGTTCTTGAGTTCGTAAGAACTTCCCTTCGTAGGGATCTTCTCTTCCTCTTCGAAGAGCTTGCCGACGAGATTTTCTTCTACTTCTGCCATGTCGACGGTCGAGAAGGAAATTCCGGCGGTGATGGACCGTCGTTTGTCTAGATTAGGGTTTTCCTAGGAATCTTGCTCCGATACCATGTAGAAAATAATAAGAGGGAAAATTTTCTGTATATTCAATTGTTCTGTTTAGTTACAAGGGGTTTCTCCTTTATTTATAGGAGAGGATGATTCCAAAATAGACAAGGAATACAAATCCTACAAGGAAACAAATCATAATCAAACTAGGAAACAAATAAATCAAGATCAATCCTAATTAGAATGGGATTCGGTCATCAAAGGATTTGGACTTCTCAAGTTCGGATTTCTCGGAATTCGGACCTCTCGGAATTCGGATCTCTCGGAATCCGGATTCCTCGGAAGTCGGACTTCTCCGGATCCGGACTTCTCTGGATCTGGACTTCTCAGTTCCAATAATTAGACTCTAGAAAACTAGTTTTTTGGACTAGTCTTAGTCTTTAGACCAATCTTTTACTAGTCTCGGACCGGTTCAGGTCTTTAACATGTCTTTTACTAGTATTAGACTAGTTCTAGTCCTCTATAAATATTAAGGAACATTTGAGACGACTGGTCTTGGACTAGACTAGTCTCAAGAACTACTTCGGTCCCAATCTTTCAATTCCAAATCCTAGTCGGTCTCGATCAATCTTTTCGGTCCCAGTCTTTATGCTCTTCTCTACATCGAACCGAAGCATCAAGCGATCAAGGGTTGATTGGACATGCTCGTTGAACCGGGTCAATAACCTAGTCAACATTTCGTTAACTATGCAAGTAGCATTTAAGACTAATATTTAATTGATTGAAATTAGAATACAATAGATACATAAAATGTTTTTGGCAATAAAATTAAAACTACTATATTTGTCACGTAGTATTTATCTAGTTTTGACTTTTCCAGTCAACCGTTTTCAACATTTAACCTATAATTAAATAAAATATAGATTGTATATAATTAGATAAAATAATATTTTGAAAATATTTTATACAATAAATCTAATAAAACTATTTTTGTAACAATGTCTGATACTCCCTCCGTTTGGAAAAAGTGTTCTTATTTTGACTTTGTGTAAAAATAAGGAAGTATTAAATTATAGTTGACTTCCAATTTTGCCCTTGATATGATAGGTAAAAGTAAGATGTGATGGATAGATTATTAGAGATAAAGTATGATGTGATAGGTATGGTATGAAAAAGTAAGGGTAAAAGTGGTTTTTTAATAGAAATTGGAAGTGTTTTGTTAGGAAGTAAAAAAATGAAAGAGGAAGTGTTTTAAAAAACGGAGGGAGTATTAACATGTAGGGTCTCTTTTTTCGGTTGAAATTTTAAAGTTATATGTTTGAGGTGATATGTTATAAATTTGGATATATGATGCTATTATATGCTAATCATATATAAATGCATGTTTTAAGACATTGGGAGAAGATTGAAAAAACTAAAAGATATTGAAAGAAACTCTAATTAAAATGATAGAAAAAGTTACTGAGTAGAAGTTAACTTTTCAAAACTCAATTGTACATGTCCTAAGGGACTAAATATATCTCAAGATAGAGTACTAGACATTCTTCTTGTCACTCCGACATTGTTGGATTAACTTTTATGAGTGTTTTTGCATGCATGCATGCAATGCAAGCAGAGAGTGCTGATGAGATGTGCTCAATTGGGTTTGTCGGGATGTGTGGTTTGGAAATTTTTATGTTCGGTGCTATTGTTGGAACGGGCATCCTTCTAGGGTTATGCAGCATATTCGTCTTTTGCAAGCTTTTTGCCATCATACCTTGCCTCCCTCGACCAAATTCTAAAAAAAAAGTACAGATTGATGGGAGGGAAAACGAGATGCATTGCCGAAATTATCCCGGTGGGACTTGCAATGGCACTGGGCTATGTGTTGCCATATCATATGGAATGTCTCGGTCTATTGTGTTGTTGGAGCATGGAATGCTTCTTAGTTTGTCGATTATGGTTGGGTTTCTGTAACCTCGACGTTTATTTGGGAACTTTGTGCCACAACACCTATGCAATTTTTAACCTACTGGCTGGGCTCGAATATGATCACCACTAATCATCCACTCATCTTCTCTGTCATGTCATTTGGCTTTTGGGTCGCACTATCTATTTACCGTGCTCATGGTGTTTCTGTTGATCAAACACAAGAAGAACCCATCGGACAACAAGTTGAGTTTGAGAAGGGTAATCACATCAATTCTGCACAACTCCCACAAAATTGAATTGTATTATCTGATTATTATATTGATCTCCAAACCAATTGAATTTCAAACCACCGTGTATGTACCTCCATCTTTTATTATTAATTGGTGGAGAACTAGCTATAAATCGGGGAATGGTGAACTTGTTTTAAATTTATATTCCATAGTATACATCTATCTCTAAAACTCACTATCTTTATTTCATCTTAAAAATTCTTTTTCCCACTTTTTATAAAAAACTTTTGGAGTACTTTAACTTCACTTCTACTAATTATTGGTGTATCTATCACATCATATTTATTCAATATATATATTAACATATGAATTACACGATACCTTTGTACGTCTATCTCTTTCAAAACATTTTTTGGAAAATCAACATCAAAATACACTTTTTTATGGTTAAAGGAACACAAAACCAGATGTCTTAAACCACACAAAATATGACTGTTCTACACACCCACCACCCATGCCCCAACCAATGATAATACATATGATTTTCAACTAAAAGTTTAAACTTGTGGCTATGACCCAGTACATTCTAACACGCTGCTTCACATGTAGGCATAGTCTTTTCAAACCTTGTACGTGAAACTTTAATTATTTTTGAACGTAGTGTAGATTCAGTTTCAAACATGTAACCTCCTACATAGTCAATTAGGTTACGATACCATGTCAATTGAACCAACTCAATTTTCAATTTTTTATATTTCAATAATCTCTCCGTCCCACAAAATCTTTCTGTTTTAACTTTTAAAAGATTTAAGAGTGTATTTTGGTGTTTATTTTTCAAAAATGCCTTTGGATGTGATCGGTAAAAATAGATACAATGGGTAGATTAATAGTAAAAAATGTGATATGATAGATATGTTAAGAATTATTATGGGTAAAAGTGATTTTTTTAAAGAAATGAAAAACTTTTTTTTAGAATGAATGAAAAAAGAAAAGAAAAAAAATTTTGTGAGAGGGAGGGAGTAGATAATTAGGGAAATGCTAAAAACCCCCCACCATTGCTACCAATCATGCCCCCTACATAAACATGTGGTAGGGAGGTAAGAAAATTAAAATTAGAGGGTGGGTGGAGAATGAGTAGAGATAAATGTGTGGTGGAGAAGTGGGTGGAGGCAAGATTGGTAGCAAGGGTGGATGGTGTATAGCACGGTCCAGATAATTATTGGTGAACAATACATATGACTATTGTCTCTGTAAATACTCCGTATAAAATAACATGGATTGTCATCCAAAACCGAGAGCAATCCATGAGGCAATCAGGCGGGTAGACATGCCAAGCAGGAGACTTTTTTTTCCTTATAAAAAACTCTATCCTGAGCTTAGAAACAAGAATATGGCAAGAATTGATTATACTCTCATATAAAATATAGAAATCACCCTAAATAGGATTAAAACATAGAGAAAAGTATCAAAATAGGACTTTCATGTTTTTTTCCCGAAATAAGACTTTGCACTGTAGTAATGTGACTTTGCATTGTGGTAATGTGACAGCGTACATGTGCACATTACCATACGTTTTTGGCAATGTATATGACCATGTTTGGTAATGTAAGTCCTATTTCGGGAATAAAAACATGGAAGTCCTATTTTGGTATATCTTCAATGTTTTGGTCCTACTTTGGTCTTTCTCTTTATAAAATATAAAGAAGAAATATTTGCACTAAATAATACTCCGTACTAAAACATAAGTCATTTTTCAATTAAGACTTAAATTTTTATATTTCCTAAATGACACTTAATAATGTACAAAAGGAGAAATAATGTTCAGCGATGTTGAACATTTACTTGAATAATGACTAATGAATAATGACTAAAAATGTTATATTATAAAATAAAAATATAATATATGATTTTATTTAGGAAAAATTATTACTCCCTCCGTCCGGTAAAAAGCTTCCTACTTTGACTTTTCCTCATTTTTAGTGGAGGGTTGAATAAGGCATGAAATGACTAAATTACCCTTAATGAAGGAAAAAAAAGAAAGAACAGAAATAAGGGGCCGAACACATTGAAAGCAAGCAAATTACACCAACTACACTATTTCAATCATTATCATACATCAAATCCATGATTACATAACAAAATTTAGGCATTCCCTCTAAATTTTTTTGGAATGCCGCCCAATACTTCCTCCAAATACATCAATTTTGAATCCATTTGCAGGCTATTTAACCCCCTCCCCAAGATTATTACAGTAACACCCAGCACTACTCCCCTTTCTTCTCCATCTTTGTCTTCCTAATCTTTTCAACAATCCTTTCACATTCAGCTTTATTCCTCTTCCTTTTTTCATCCCGATGTCCAGGCGGCCTGCATATAACACCAAAAAATTAGACAATGTAACACGACAGGTTATAAGCGAGGCGTTACTTTCACATTCAAACGAAAACCCCGATGGTTCTTACTCAGCTCAGTATGGACAGATCAAGAACCTTGCAGCACAATTTAAAG